AGCCAAAAATTAGCCAGTCTCCAATGTAATTAAGTGGGGACCCACAACTGTCGACCCAAAAGGCCCCAAGTTCAACATTGCGAATTTCACGTGAAATTCTGTGTCCAACTTCTGTTGAAATTTTCGGCATACGCAACAACAGCAGCAGAACAGCAGAGCGACAATCGCATACGCATTCACATACACTCATTCACATTCACATTCACATTCGTATCTGTATCTTGTATCTGGTGGCGCCGCCGCTGGGGGTCCTGTCCCAGTCCCTGTCTCAGTTCCTGTCCCAGTCACTTTTCCTGCTTCCCCTGTTCCCTGCCCTATCCCTGTCGCTTGTCGGCGCGCTTGCGCATTCAATTTAATTTTTATTTTTATTTCGATGACAATTTGCAGCCGCTGCAAAAATTTTGTGCGTTTTTTAACGACTTTCGGCAAGCAGAAAAAAATACAAAAACTCCGCACAACAACTGCAGAAGAGCCAAAAATGCCGCTAAAGAATTGACCAACGCATGTTGCACTTTTTTTCGTTTTTGACTCTTTTGTTGTTGTTGTTGTTCATTTGATTATCGCCACTGTCGCCGTGTAATTTATTATATTGACTTTTGGGGACTCACTTGGCCCTTATTTTTATGGCTTTAACCTTTTGCCAACCGCCGCGTTGCTGACATTATTTAATTTGTCATTTAATTCTGTTGCGCGTTGCCTTCTGTTAAGCGAGCAGCAAATTTTGACCATATGTTGCGAATACATACGTAAACGAGTGTGTAATGAATATATGGGAGGTATTCGCAAGTTTATGTTGCTGCTTCTGACTTTTTGGCCTACATATGCTACTTCCTTTTAACTGAAACAAACTGCAAATAATTTTTGCTTTCTTCTTCTTAATTTTTTTTGGCATTTTCTGTTCTGAGAATCACAAAGAAAAGCGGCAGCTGGCAGTTTTTATTCATGTTGAATGAACGTTTATGAACTAAGCCCTCAGGTTGCATTCACTGAGCAAAAATTGCTTAAATATGATTAAAAAAATTAATGCATACAAAAATCCTATAATTTAAATTCATAATTAACGTAATCACACATATATCTCATATTTTAATTTAATGCCATGTTATTTTTCCCATCAAATTCGCATCAAAAGAATTATAAAAACTGAGTAGCCCGCTTTGCATATTAATTAAACTTGATTGTGTATAAATGCAGCATATATTTTCACCTCCTTACCTCTGCAAAAACATTAAACCTCAAAATCTGCACATAATTTAAATTCATACGCACAAATTATATAATTTGGGTCAGCTTAGAAATTTTATAATAGCTCAATAATAGAAATTAGAAATGAAAACCATTTCCAGCCCAATTCTTCTAAGATAATTGGTTTCAATGCGGCTCTCTCAACAATGAACATTCATTAAATTAAAAATAATTATTCTATACACAAATAATACTAATTAGATCATTAAAACATTCACCTTCCTCACAAGTATCATTCACATTGTTAATTAAAACTTATTTATAAAACTACAATAAAGAATTCATGTCAGCTCTGTTAAATAACTTTATACCCAAAACTCCTTTTAATTAATTGCATTTAATCAAATTTTGAGCTGTGTCGCCAAAATAAACGCCCACCAGAGCCAAGATAAGAAAAAATGTGTTTCAATACCAAAATGGCCGCAAAAAATGCGCTAAATCATTTCTTAATTGCTCAATTTAAAAACAAATGCGAGCATTTAATTTAATTGTGTGGACTGTTAATTGAGTCGTATTTGGCCCGTTTTGGTTGCACGAATGCGAATGCCGGCCACGCCCACCGCAAAGGCGAAGGCGCCTCCGATACGTTGTTAGATAAAAGTCAGCTGAACAGCATGTTGTTGCAGCCCGTTGTTGTTGTTTTTGTTGCTGTTGCAGTTGCAGTTCATTGCTGCTGTTCATTTTCGGCATTTTTGTGGGGCAATTAAAAATGCAACTGCGCGACAGTTTGGCAAATGCTCAGCTGCAACGCCAATGGCAAAAACAAGCTGCAACAAGCTGCCGCAACAGCAAACTGTGGGCCAATTTTCGTATGATTTACCACCGCGGCAACAGCAGGTGGGTTTGAGCAGGAGCCAAACGATGTTGAAATTAGCATATAGAAAATGCATTATGCGATAATGCGCCATAAATGTCGCCAAATCGAAATTACGTGTCGACTTTTGGGCATTTGAGATAGATATGAGCTTGTAGATATAGCAGACGCATTAGGCTGGCGGCCATAAATCTCCATCGGGGGCTGTTGTGTCGCATCATCAATCATCTTGGCTCAGATCGATTATTACAATTGCTGACAGACGAGCGAAGCAAGTTGGCGGCGGTTACATCTGCGGGCAGCCATTTGTATCTGATGGATGTATCTCGAATACCGCCTGCTGCTGCGGCTGATGCTGCTGCTGCTGTTGTTGTTGTTGTTGGTTTTGCTGCTGTTGAACTGCAGCATGCAAGCCCAGTTTGCATTTCCATGGAAACTTGTGCATTTGCACAGCTGCAACAGTTTTGCCTCTCGGCGGTTGTTGTTGTTGTCGCTGTTGTTGTTGTTGTTTTCGTGTCAAGTCCTAAAAGTTCCAAGAAAACCAAAAGTTTTGCCATGTTCTATGCCAAAAGTGACGAGCCAGTTACAAGCTGCCCATTGTCCGTTGTCCAGCACGAAGTTATTTTAATGAGTTGCCAATTAGACTGGCCCATACTGAACCTAAATAGATCAGCGACTCAGCAACTGCTAATAAATACCTGACCAGGTCGAATGGCTCCCTCTGCAGCTCTTGCTCTTCCTCTCTCTCGCTCTCTTGGGGCCTCGCTCATTGCGTGAAGCGGCGCACACCTGTTGCATGTTGCTTACCGCTTGGGGTCCCTGGCGAGTGGCATAAATAAAGTAAAGGGCCCCCCTCCCAAAACGGGAGTCTTTTTTAAAACCAACCCAAGCCACTTGGCCATAACTTGCGTCAGTCACAAGTGGAACTTTACGATGCTGTTGCCAACTTGCTGTCTGACAGCATCCGACAACAAACTCAGCGGGCCTGAGTTTAATTCTCAACTCACTTGAGTGCAATTCAGCTAGATAGCTTGCCAGTTGCATTAATGTAACTACAGTTCTTACCAGTATTAAATCGGAAGTTAACTACAGAGGAGCCGCCTGGGCAACAGCAACTAATTTCGTTGCCTTCGACTTTACATAAAGAAAAAGTTTTTCCTGATTGTCGAATATTAGACCAGCTAACAAGTTTCTTCAGGTGTTATCGTTACGTTTGTTTCTTTTTATTGGCTTGTAGTTTTTTCTTAACAGCTCGCCTCAATTAACGCGCATTTTTTCCAACACTTTTGTGAGGCGCCGCTTATTAGCCCGTTTCCGCTGTTCTGCCACACCCACATCCTCAATTTACAAGAGAGAGAGAGAGAGGGAGAGGGAGCAGTAAAAGAGGGGGCGGGAAAAAACACACGCAAAAATTACATTTCATTCGTTCTCTTTGTTTGTTATTAATTACGCTTTCCAGAGCGTTCGCCTCGTGGCTGCGTTTTCGGCCAATTGAATTATTACGCTCAAGACAATGGACGGCCGCGCTGTTGGAGAGCGGCGGACGGCAAAGAGGAAGCTGGGGCAGCGAGTATAATGGCGTTTGCTCTTATTATAGCACCGGCAGCATAAATATTTAAACAACTGACAAGTGGGATAACGAGATAACTGCCAAACAGTAGCCAAGTGAACCACCTGAAAGCTTCAAGAAATAAAACCCCACATTTTTCAACGAAATTGGCCAAAATTTATAAAAGTTTTCTATTCAAGGGCGCATTAGGAAAGTCATTCCCAACTTAGTACACGGATCAGCATTGAGTTAATTATATGCTCTATACATTTTTATATGCGAGTACTTTCAGCTTGTCGTACAGCTTGTCATGTCTATAAAAGCCCACAAAATTTAATCTACAAGCTTATCATGGCTTATATATTTTGGTTAGAGCTACAATATATAGTTTAAAGAATATAATTGCCTCAAATAATCATTAAATTTTTAATTAATCCAATTAAACATAACTTTTTAGGGTAAATATCATTCGACTTATTTCAGCAATATTTTTGCCTACTTGTATTTTTCTGATCCGACTCTTTGTTGTTTCTTCTACAATTTCGTCGGCATTTATCAAAAGGATATTAAGCGTGGCAACTGTGAAGGCAGGCTGCAATATTTATATGCGTGTTGATTTCTGTTTGCTGAAATTAACCTTTTTGGCACAGCCCTTCACACCCCTTGCCCGCTGTTTACCCCACGCTTGTTTACAGATGCCCGCTGCTAGATAAGGTCTAGGCAAAAGGGTCAAAACGCAGTCGCATGTGTTTCACTACGTTTACTGCCTCCTGACCCTTACGGCCCACACTGTCTTATCCACCCTCTCCTCTCACCCTACCCAATTCAGTATTCATTGCCTGCCTCATTTAACTGAGGCCATAAATATTCTAAATCACCAGCGGGGCCAATGTCGGCTAGCAGCCTCAAGTTGTTAAGATAATAAACTTTGTAATTAATTTTGCATCGTTAAATGAGTGAGAGTGGGAACGAGAGAGAAAGAGCGAGAGAGAGAGAGAGAGAGAGAGCTGTGCAGTTTTCTCGTTTAATTTCAGTTTTGAGAGCAGTTTTAATCGCCTGCTCATCGCCAACTTCTTTTGATGGCGCCTAATTGACTTCACTCACGAATTTTCATTTCGTGCTTATGTTATACTTTTTTTTTACAGCTAGGCGAAACACCTTTCGGATACGTATCTATCTTTCTCATTTACTTGCTGTGCAACTTTATATTCATATTCATAACTTTTTTTTCATATGAATTTATCATCTTTATCGCCATCGCGCCATAAAAATTGCATAATCATAAAAACATTACACCTGCTTTTGCAGTTGCTCGCTAGCTAGATCATCTAGTTTTTTACAAGACTCATCTCATTTGTGTTTTTATTGAAATTTTTTAATGGTTTCTTACAGATAACGCTGGAGAGCTTGGATGGGTATTCACCCTAATCGTAGTCTCAATCATATCGGGTCTGATAGGTGCTATTGTAATGGTCATATTTCTAAGATGTAGAAGGTATGTATATCGATCAATTTGTTATTAAGTGTTACTCGATTTGGTACATTTACTAGCTGCATACTACTTAGAAGGATATTTCCTCTGTTCTTTCACAATTGCTGGAAAAGTGATCAAAATAATCCATCAATAAGTTATCGATTTTGGATAACTTCGTTAGACAAGCTGTTTTTAATTTCAGCTATAAAGGCAAGCGCATAAATTTGCAATTCAAATTAATTGCCCAAGACAAACAACAAGCAATAAATAAAAATGCTAATAAATAGACACATTTTGGCATTTAGCTAGAAAAATACCGCAATTAGTCATCATAAACATATATCTCTACGCTCATATATACAACAACGTGTACGATATGAGTCGCATAGCCAGCACGGACATTCAACTCAGACCCCAAGACGACCCCAACGATCCGTCATGCAGCGACATTTACAATACCAGACAAATTGAATATGTGCTATGTCCATACATCCAGTGCGAATATATCAGCCGTGGCACAAGTACACATATGTATGTAACCAACAGATTTACAATGGATTTGCCCACACAACAGCAAACAGCAATTCAATTAAACGCCCACCGAAGGCAAGAGAAACCTTTAAAGCGCCTTCATGCGGTCAGAATAGCGGCAAAAATAATCGAGGCGCAAAACAAAAGAACATGAAATTGCTTTAATACTTAATTGCTCTTTAAAATAAACACACAACAGCAACAACAGCAACTACAATTATTGGAGGCTACATTTTTGCCACAGGCCATTCTTTTGGCGTCTATCAAAGGCGTAGAGTGGGTCAGTCGCAAACACACACACATACACACAGTACACACTCAGTAATCGCGACAAGATACATTTAAATGGACATTCATTTGCTGAAAATATATTCGGGCAATTGCAGAGTATGGAGGGGCTGGAGGGGATGCTTCAGCTGGCAAGTGTGCGGGGGCGTTGGCAACACGCGAGCTCAAAATTAACCAAAATTTTTGTTGGCTTTGCGCAGGCGCCGCTGTCGCTGCCGCAGTTAACGTTGCCTTTCAATCGAACGCTGGCCACATGTCGCGTCCAATTAAATTGTCATGTTGTTGTATTTTGGCGGCATGTTTGCATAAAATTAATTTCGCAAATAATTTGCCAAAGCAAAACAAACAAATGAACAAACAAATACAAAGCCGAGACAAGTGAGAAACAATTGGCGTCGGCCAAAGACGACAGGGGAATACCCTTCATGGGGAAAAACAGAACACAAAATACAAACAGATGTATTTAAATTTGTCACTTTGAATTATTTGTATTTTTTTTTTTCAAGCCAACAGACTGAAAAACAATCCTAAATAGTATAAGATTAAAAAACATCCAAGGATAATATAATAAATACATTCTATCTATAAGAAGCATACCTAATAAAAGATGTTAGAAGCATGCCTCAAAGAAACATTCTTATTATAGACATATTCTCTGTATAAGAATCACACCCAGTATACCCTACAGTCGCCCCGCTGGGCATATAAGCATAGTCTGTAACTAAGTCTCGTAGGCAGACAGTTTGAGTGGGGTGTTCGATTGGGTTGGTGGGGGGCTCTCGTAGCTCGCTGCATGTTTGGCTACGCATTCACACGCTGCTTGTCTAGCTTAGATTTGCCATTATTTAAGCTGGAATCTGGGCATATGGAGAAGGCCTCCCCGCTGCCCGCACCCCATATAGGTAGACAGCAATCGGATTGTCACGCTGTTCACCTTGCCGTCAGCTTTAGTCAGTCAGTTTGCCAGAGTTGTTTTTGCAACTGTTTCATGTCAGCTGGCGGTCGGTTCGGTGGGTTCGGGCGTCGTGCATGGACGTGTTGGCTGCCAAATTAGCAGCAATTACATGTAATATCGGTTACACTTATTTGCATATTGATGCAATTCTCGATCGCCTAATGGCGCTATAAATTTGCTCGGCACATGTTGCTGCTGCCGCTGCTGCTGCAGCTCACAAGTTTGCCAGTTGCCATTTGCGGTTGTTTTTGTTTTTCGGCTCATGATTTGTTAGTGGACACCTCAGAAGTCGAGTTTTAATGGCACCTGCCATTCGGCCTGACAATGTTTGCTCAATGTCTAGACATTGTAATGGCAACACGGTTAACTCCAAATGTCTTTTTTTGCTGAGCCACTTGTCGGAAAAACTCAAAGCACCATTTGATTTGAAATGTTGACTGTCGAATTGATACTGGCGCTTGAATTACTTAACTTGCCGAGTGAAGAGCGTTAAATAAATGATGTTGTGCTAGTTTCTAGATTGCTAGCATCAACATTTTTAAGCAACTCGAAATGCAAAATCTATTTAAAATTCTTTTTATAAAGAACAGCAAGTAGACTCTTAAATACATTGGATTTAAACTTTAAGAATTCTCTTAAGCATATGCAAGTTGGGCTTCTGTTTAAGAGATACTATTTTGCTGCAATTTGGTCAAAGTTCAAATTAACTTTTATTTTAGCATGTAAAACACAATGAAGCTTCTGTAATTCTAAATATTTTTTAAATACTGGTTCGCCTGAGTATTAACTGCAAATTAAATCTGCTTTGATTTTAATTTTATTATTTAGCTTAGAGCTTAAACTTATATAAAAAAAAAAAAAAACAGTTTCCGCCCACACACACACACATATACACACGTCTGCATCTAGCTCACTTTCTGTTTGACAATAACATTGTTAAATGGCACAAAATTGTCGCTTCGTGCTCGTATTTCATAGTTTGATAGAAAAACGAATAACGAAATTCAAGTTTAAAGCGTTTAAGGCAGCTGCAACAACGCCGAGCTACATAAAAAGGCGTGTTCAATTAGCATGCTTCAAGCTCGATAGCGAAAAAACAACAACAACAAAATCAACTGCTGGCGAAAAACAAGCGCAGAAAATTGAACATAACGTTTCAAAGGAAAAACATACAAAAAATTGAAGAAAAAAAACGCAGAAAATAAAAGAAAAACAGTTGGAAAATTAGCGCAGAGCAAAGGCACGGCCCCAAGACGGACGACGACTGGCTGAACGGTGAGCTTGTTCACTTTAATTGAATTGCAAAAAGAGAGAAAAAAAGGCCAAATTAAAAAGAGGCGAATGCGAATCAAAAAGTCGAACTGGCGTCGGTTTAGCTCAGGTTAACATTATAATCGATCAAGGCAAAGCGAGGGGAAAATTTAACCGCATGCCGAGTTGCACTCAATCATACGGACACGGCGTACAATGGACGGACACTAGACGGTTAATTGATACGCACAATCTATATCCATTAGGTTCGTGCTCGATCTGACCCAGAAAGCGGTGGCAAGTGCAAATACTGTGGGGCCAAAGTTAATGGCAATGCGAGAAACTGTTAGAGAAAATTGCTAAACTTCAATTGAAAGCAGAATTTGTGGAACAGAAGACAACAGCAGCAACAACAGCAACAACAACCGCCTCAACAAAACGACATCAACATTGAAAGAACAGCCCACAAATCGGGCAGGTAATCCGGTTCAGCCTCTTCAACTCTACGCTTATCCGCAAGATTTTGTGCGCTAATCTAATCTCAACGTTTGTGTTGCAACAAATGGTGAATGCTGCTGCTGCTGCTGCTGTTGTTGTTGCTGCTGCTGATGTTGTAATGCAATTGTGTTGTTTGTGTAAAATTCTTATCTGCTTATACATATATTTTGCAGTAGTTTATCTGCGTGTCACACGCAAAACTTTTATTTGCGTAGACGAAGTTTGTGTCCTAAGTCTTTCGTTTTGGCATTTGCCATTTGTCGCCGTTTCTTGGCATTGAACACTTTGACATTTGCTTTGTGCTAATTTATGTTTTTTTTCACCGCCAATTTCTGTTTATTAATTGCAACATTCTGTACGCTTCTTATCTTTGCAGAATTAAATCAGCGAATGCCAATGGTAAGTGCAAATCAAGTTTCTAAACTTAAGAGGGGTGTTACATCGAGATAATTACTATCTATATTCTGCTGGGCTATTAAAGTATTTAAGATAAATATTTAAATCGCAACAATCGATTCCACTTTGAAGTCTTTTTTTTTCATACATTTCTTATAGGTTTCCTATAGACGTTGTCAGCAGCTATTTCCGTCATTCTCCAGCTGCATTTCAGACTTGATCAATTAGTCACTTGCTTTTTGCCTGCCTCGTCTGATTAATTAAGCAAGTCAGCGCTAGGCAGACTCTTTTTTGCTTCAACTTCTTCCTCCTCTTCGTATTCTTAGCATATTCTACGCTCGATTTTTTTCTGCTTTTCCATTTCCATTTTTAATTGCATAATTCTGGCTTTGCATGCAATTCACGGAAATTCGTTTTTGCTTTTGTTGCAGAGCAAATTTGTGGCACAAGTGGCAACAATTTAATTTGTTTTCTCTTGGCTCTTGGGCTGCTGCAAAGCGAACATACAAATTTTTGACGACAATGCATGAAGTTCACGTTCGTGCCACAAATCTTAGATGCTGCTGAAATGGAAACTGATGTACGTGCCCCCACAGAGCCCGTGGCAGCATTCGGCTTAAGAAAATTTGTAGACAAATTAAGGCAAAGGCTAACAATTGTCTTGAGTTCCCTAGCCAGCTTTTGCTATTGGCATTGGCCTTTCCTTCAGATGGCTGGCTTAAACACGTTCGAAAATCGTGCAAAAAACTTTTTTCTTTTTGATTTAGTTGCTTGGCGCGCGGTTCTGTTTCCTTTATACAGTAGGCGAATTATTGACAAACGAGCTGGGGTACACCCCAAGCCCACCATGTGGACCCTTTTTTGGCCAACTCTCTCTTTCCAATTGGCGCCAATTTCACTGTCTGTCTGCTGACTGTCCTGTGCTGACATCGACATGCAGGACAAATTGTTGACGGCATTTAATGTCACAGCAGCCAATTAGCTGTCCCATGAAAATCTTCACTTGCTGTTGTTGTTTTAACTCTGCTGTTTTTTCGGTTGTAACTTTTTTTTGGCTAAAGTTTTTCTTTTGTGTGTGTTTTAGCTCTCGCTGTTTTTTCTGCTGCTACGCACGGTTGCATGTTGCGAAAACAACAAACAACTGCAAAAACAACAACAACAAACACAACAACAACAACAGCAGCAGCAAAACAAACAATCACCACAAATCGTTAAACTGTCAGCAGCTTTTAAAGCGCGTGATTATGTCGAAGTCAACGTCAACGTGGACGTTGTGTGGCGACAGGCGCCAGTTGCCCAAAAACAGTTTTTAAAATGCCGAAGAGAAAACTTATTTTCAATTGCCCAAAAGCTGAGCACATTAAAACAATTCGACTGCAGCTGATTATGTTTGCACCCAAAGTAAATAATTAAGGTGCATAGAAAAATACTGTAAGACACCTTTAAAAGTTAATTGCCACATGTTGTGGAATTGCCAAAAACTATACAAAATGCCATTGACTAGGTAAATGCTTGTTGTTGTTGCAACACCCCAAAATTGCAGTTGGTGCAAACATCATTTGCATAGGAAATTCTGTGCTCAATTATCTTGAACGCTGCCAGGCAGACAACGCGGCGTATGAGTAACATTACTTTAATTATGCATACGCGATAAGAACAGCTATGCGACATTTTTTTGTGCCTGGGTAACAGACACAGAGAAGGCATTCAAGCCAACTCAAGTAGTAAACACGCTGACAGTCATTGGCATTATCTGTGCGACTATTAAGACTTCATTACACATGTCATATGCGCCATTTGGCGACTTGTTTCACAGAAATCCAACGAGACGCAAAACACACATTAAATTCCAAAATGATCGTTAATATTTTTGATATTTTTTTTTGACTATTATTTGTTGTTATTGCTGTGGTGTAGCGGAGTCAAGTTGAGCACAATGTTTTTAGCCAAAAGCTGCTGCGAAATATTTTGTTAACAAAATTTGCCGTTGCTGCCGCTGGCGCTGCACGCAGATAAGCAGCAGCAGATAAGGCCGGCAGCGGTAGCAGTTGCAGCAACAGCAATAGCTTCTAATGCACACTGGCTCGAAGTTATTTGCATTTGGTAAATATATATTTTTTGAACAAATTGAGGTAGTTGATGGTTTATGTGTATAGGAAAGTGAGAGGAACTTGCTCATATTACAAAATAATAAATATATAAATACTTATAATAAATAAAAAATTATATAAATAATAATAACAATAATAATGATAATAAAAATAATAATAATAACAATAATAATGATAATAAAAATAAAAATAATAATAATAATAATAATAATAATAATAATAATAATAACAATAATAATAATAATTATAATAATAATAATAATAATAATAATAATAATAATAATAATAATAATAATAACAATAATAATGATAATGATAAAGATAATCATGATAATGCTGATAATAATAATATTATTGATAATAGTAAAAATAATAATTTTAATCAAGAATCCTTCTTCAGTTAGTCTCACTGGAGACTGGATTGTTTAAGGTGAACATCTTGAAAGTCATGGTAGAAAAAAAGAAGTATACCATACTCATAATAATAAACATAATGATAATTAAATATAATAATAATAGTAATTCCTAAGAATATAGCATTTACTATCAAGACTTACTCGGAATACCTTCAAATAATTTTCTAAGCCCTAATAAACTAATGCTCCTAGCACCTAGTGCTTCGATAAATTCGATAAAAATAGTTTGGCACCACTGTGCAATGGCAGCAATAAGCGTAAGTTCAATACATTTGCTGCGGTAGCAGGCAGCAACATCGTTAACATTGCACAAAAAACAGCTATTAAAACCAACTAGCCGCAAAGTCCGAATCCAAGTCCAAGTCCGACTCCGAGTCCAAATCCAGCTTCAGTTGCAGGCAAATATTGCGGCTTGGAATCGAATTGCAGTGTCTCTGGCGTTTGTGACATGCACAAAATGCATGTATATGAGCACCTACGTACGATAAGGTTGGGTTAATAATCGCCAGAGAGCAACAGAGCCCCAAGTTCCAGGCACAGCCATAGCTACAGCACAGTACGTAAATCATAAGCATTAAAAGCAGGCAACGAGTGGCAACAACCGAAATGGCTGCATTATGCATGTGCATAACTTGGAAAATTGGCGACGTTGCCAGCGCTTGCAAGTGGTTGCGTATGCATTCCGCTAATTAGTTGGATCGCCTCAAGCGGCGGCCAGCTCTGGGCGCAACGAGAGTGAAAGGCGAAGCGCTGCGGCGTTAAAAGCTGAGCACTGGCCAATCATTAGCAGCTAAGCAAAGTGGATGAGCTGTGGCTGTGGTAGTGGTGGGAACAGCGGATGCTGAACAGGTCTTGGTCTGGTTATGAACAGAAATTACTATAACAAGGCTCAAGGAATCTATAAAGATGCTGTTAGCGGATAAGCAGCCTATAAATGATTCACTCTAATGAATAGAAATTTTATAGACTTCCTATTGTAGCACACAAATGTATGAGAATGGCCAAGGTTGATGATCTCTGGCTGAGTCTTATGATATATGCCAAGGATTACTCATGAGGTTAGGCTTCTTGCACAATGAGATCACACAAGCTGATTAAAAAGGATCTCACAGTATTTTGCACAGTGAGCCAAAGTATTTGACATTTCGGCCCAGTCGCCCGTTACTCATGCCACTCGCTAGCAACTGCAACAGTGCAACTGTGTGGCACACGGTGCTAATGGTGGCTGTTGTTGCCACCTCGCTGCAAGTTGACAGCCGTTTAATTTACGCTTTGTTTGTTTTGCTGTTTGTTTCTCTGTTTCTCTGTTTGTTGTTTGCTGTTTGCTGCTCTGTCGCGTTCAATGTTTGATTTATCGCCCGATTATAGAACAAAATGTCATAGATTTCTGCGTCGCCAGCATCGATTCCGATTTCGATTTAGCTTTAAGCCACCAAGTGTTCAAATACCAAAGCAACTACTCATGTGCCTGCCTACTGCTCTGCATCTCTTACAGGTGGTCGCCCGCAGCCGTGGTGGTGTCGCAACAATCGCAACGGTGCCGGCCAGAACCGCTCGCCAATTTCCATTAAGCATTCGGCGGACAGCATACGCCGGCCGACTAGCAACTCGGGCGTCTGGACCTGGCTGGGCGGCAGTCGGCGCTCGTCGGCGGGACCCGATCAGATTGGTCCGCCATCAACATCGCCAGCCGAGAATCATTATACCCACATGGATGATGCGTACAGTCCGGTCGGTGTCAGTGAAGCTCTCTACGCGGAACTTGATCGCGAATCGGTGCGTTCGGCAAATCCGTCGTATCAGAATACGGCATACAGTCAGTGTGGCGAGGTGAGTTAAGCAATATGACAAACTTTATCCAATTATGTTACGCCATTCATCTAAATCCTTCGCAGAAATACAATTTCCAAGCACACGAGCAAGACATTCCCATGGTCGTCTCGTCAGCGCCGAGCAGCGCCTACTACTCGGATCTCTCCGTAACGGCCATGCCAGGCGGCGCCAGTGGCAGCAACCAGGGCGCCTATGAGATTGTTGGCCTAAATGTCATGTCGCAGCCGCTGCCCAATTGGGAGCATCATGGCGGCGGCGGCGGCAATGGCGTTGGTGGCGTTGCCACCACCGGTCTGGCGACGGGTGATGCTGCCGCAGCGGGCATGACGCAACGGCGCATGCCGCGTCTGGCTGCCATCAATGAGACGAGCACCAGCACAGTGCCCTCGGACTATGTCTAAGGAGTTGAGCAGTTAATTTGTAATTTATATAAGAGATATGTGACTTTAAAAAAGTGAAAAGAGAACAAGAAATGCGAGCTTAACATGTTAAAGAATTACGTTACACACAATCTATATACATACATATATAGTCTAATGATATATATATACAAATAGTTCTATGGATATATATATATATATTTATAGCATATGCTAGCTTAGAGTTAGCGTAGTTTCGATTCGTGTCTTTTGTTTATGTCTGAATTGTAATATAAAGCGACAGATTTACATACAAGCATGTATTATAAATCTAGTTTTAATATAGTGTTAAACAACGATTTAATCGTGGGTGATATTTAGCCTAAATATGCTATATTCTTATGTTCTATGTACTTTAGCATTTTCTAAAAATGTAAAAACAACAGAAGCGGCAAGAAAAAAGGCCCAAATAACAAGCAAAAGCAAAACAGAAAACCGAATCATAAGCATTTTTTGATCAATTTGGATTAGGTGAGAGTAACGCATTTCAGTCTTAACGAAAAAACACCCCAACAATGTACCCAAAATCATATAATGGCATTATACGTATTTATACAGCAAAAAAAAAAAAAAAAAACACTCATACACACATTCACACGTACATACATATTTACAGCAAATGAATTTATGCTTACAGGAAATATACTATATACAATATCTATAAACGAAGCAAAGGAAAACATATTTACAACGATTTTAATGCAAGAAAATAAAAATAAAAAAAAAGTATTTATGACTATTTACGAAACACACACAGAATTATTTATACTGCATACAAATATACAATATAATATACTACAAGCAACCCAAAACTGGGCCATTGCCACAGATCACAGCTCTAGCTCTCTCTCTCAACTCCAAGTAGCACATCATATCATTTACAAACTACAGCATTAACTCAATATAAATAACTACATACATACATGTATACAAACAATTTTCCAAGCATATAACTTAGTAGACATATGTATTTTAGATTTAGTAGCAGCAGCTTCCAATGCTGTTTAATTTAATTTTTGTACATTTTGTTTTAGTTGAAAATATAATTAAAAACTATTGCTATTTACATTCTGAATCCCAAAATGGATCTGTGTTTTATTAACCTCTGAAAAAGGCTCAACTGAAGGCGTTTCAATTGCCCCTGGTGATCTCCTATACTCTTTCAAATGATCGCTCAATTTTTCTGCCGAAAAAGAGGACATTTTTTTGGATACGATATAAATTATTTATTTAACAATCAGTTTTCAATACCTTTTTAAACACAAGCAATTTATCACTTTTTACATGTTGGACATATCTGAATAACTTAATATTGAAATGTACATATGTATATATATATATATATATATATATATATACAATTGATTGTCGGACTGACTCACAGCCCGAACCGTAAGAGCCCGGAAACTGAATCGACGTTATTTATTGTAAGTGCACGCTAAGACGGACCATAAGACAAACTATTGTTGTATACCAATTTTTAACAGGTACATTTTAAAAAATCTGAATGAGGTTATGTATGTATGTATGTGGTTATGGATATATGTTTGTGGTTATGCGTAAATGTATGTATGTGTTCATATATGAAAATAAATGATTGGATGAATGTATGCATGAAATCAATATAGGCCAACTTTACCTCCCGCTATATATCAATTCATGTTCTCAATGCAATTCTTCTATGCGATTCTCATGACATCAAGTAAGCCTGACAACTTGTCATGCCTTGATATTGTATTAGCAAGCTCTGCGGGCCATATAACAAAGTTCATTTCTGCTCATATACTAATTTACTCTCATATTCATTTTTCTTTCTTCTGACATTAAGCTGGTTCTCAACACTTCTGTTAATTTGGTGATGCGTATATATAAAAGTCTGTCTCCCTCCTAATAATAGATTGCAGTAAAATAATCATATGTATATGTAGGAAACAGAGGCTATTTTCAAAGCACCAAATATAATATTCGGATTAGACTTGTTTCTACAGGAGCCTGCAGATGTGTTAAGAGAATAATGAAACTCAAATTTGCTGGATTCGGTTGATAATGTTTAAACAGGCGTAGTTTTTCTTTTTAAAACATTTCATTTTTAGGCGAGCCCAAGCAACGTTTCAACACAATAGCATTTAACCGGAGAGAATAGTTTGCACAGAAATAGACGGACGGACGCGCATGGCTATATCCACTCTGCTGCTGATACCCATTTAGAATAACTGAATATTATAAGTCGCCTTCAATGCTTAAGTCCTTTCAGGACACAATTGTAATATTCTTTGGAAGAGTTTAAAAAGAATAAATATGAAGGCAATACAGACCTGAGTATTGGTTATCTCCAATTATAAACGCACACATTTGGATAACCCTGTTGAACGTCAAAATTGTTCATCCAGAGTCGCTAAGTTACTCGAAATGCTATGAACCTTTCAGTCGTATTCAACATATTCACTCTCTGGCATATCGTTGCCATCCTCATCTCCTACAATCTCATGTGCGTCAGTTCCTAATTCGGAGTTCGACTCCTTAAGCTGGCGGGTATGAATTTTATAGTGAGCGCGCAATGCTGCCTTCTGCCTAAAATGTCTGCCGCATTCCACGCACCCATGTGGCTTCTCGCCCGTGTGGATTAGCTCATGTTGGTTACGTGTCTCGGGCTGAATGAAGGCGCGCTCGCAATAGCGGCAGGCATAATTCCGAGCACGCTCGTGTATGGTGCGCATATGTTTATTCAGATTACTGGAGCTGTAGCACACCTTAGAGCAGAGCCGGCAGCAATAGGTGCGCTCCAGCGTATGATAATTTAGGTGAATCTTGAGTTCAGTCCGTGTCGTCTTCTGTACGCCACAGTATGAACATGTGTAATTCTTAATGCCCGCATGGCGCATCATATGTATCTTTAACAGCTGCTTAGTGGCGAAACGTCGCTCACAATCCGGCTCCTCGCACACAAATGGCTGCTCCAACTTGTCCTTGTGCGTAAAACGATGGTTTTTGAGCAGCGCCATAGTGTCAAAGAGCTTGCCACAGAACTCGCAAACATGCGACTTGTGCTCCTTACCAAGCTTATGACACTTTCGCATATGCAGGGATAAAGTATGCTTGTGGCTGTAGCCGCGATCACAGCCTGGCTCGGGGCAGGGGTACGGCATCTGTCCATGTCGCCGACTATGCGCTAGCAGGCGCTTCTCATTTAAGAATTGCGCGGCGCATATATCGCATTTGAAGACGCTTTTGGGATGCTGTGGCGAGGAACTCTAAAAAGTTAAGCAATGCTTCTGATAAATTTCTCACATAATTCTGTTTTTGGCTTTCTTACTGTAACGGCATCCAATTCTACGTCGTCCTCCATGGGCTGTGCAGGTGTTTCCATGTCATGATTTTCAATTTCCACTTCTACAGAATCCAATTGGTGCTCTTTACATTTTGCTTTGCTCTTGTGCAGTTTTTCACTTTGCTTTTCATTGCTCTCTTTTAGCTCCTCGACTGCAACTGTACTCGGTGCCGCCTCCAAGTCGTAAATGGGTTCCTCCTCATCGCAAAATGCCAAAATTTGCATGCGCCATTTTGTATCAGCCGCAATGCACTTGGCACGGAATGCATACAACTGTTCCAACTGGTTATAGCACGCCTGGCACAGCTCACTGGGGACTCGTTGCTCCTCAGACACGGACAAATCGGTGCAGGTGACAAACTTGTGTGCTAATAGAGGCAATTTCCGCATATCGTAGCTACCGACAGTTGCATCGAGATCACAAATACAAACACGGCACTTCGTAAAAGTAGTCATCGAAGCTGCTAATTAGTTTATCACATTTGAATAAAGCAATTTGCTTGTCCACTGTTTCAGAATAAATTACGGCGTTTTCTTGTTAACGCGGTTGCAGCTGACCAGAGGTTATCGACTATCGATAACTTTATTCAAATACAACCGTGTAAACATATGTTGGTGGCATCAAACGTGACTAGAAAAATAATACAAATATAATTAAAAACATGCTTCCTTAAACAAATATAATAATGCATGTGATTTACTTTTTCATTTAATTCAATTTTTAAAATGTAGTCGCTATTTTTGGAATTGTTAACAACTTTTTGGTAGCAGATACTTTAAAGTACTTGTTAGATGTAGCAGGTCACCCCCGTCGTCATTGTTTACGTTTAGGTACAAAGTTCAGTTGTCTTGTTAAAATGTTGAAATTAAATAGTTACGGATCGCGTAAATTAATTTTAGATATTTATAAATATCGATTCTACTCGGCTGCCGTCCCAAAAAGGAAACCCGAAAATGAAGTTAGCAAGGAGCCCAAAAGACCAAATGAATCTTTCATGGCAAACATATTTCGTGGCACTTTGGTCTCGAAGCAAGTTTTCCCCTACCCCGATGTCTTGACATTGGAACAAAAGGAAACAACCGACAGTATGCTAGATCCATTTCAAAGATTCTTCTCCGATGTAAACAACGCTGCGCGCAATGACGAAAACTCCGTCATCGACGATAATACCCTTAAAAATTTATGGGAGCTCGGCGGCATGGGCATCCAGGTGCCCAGCGAATATGGCGGCTTGGGCATGAACAATACTCAATACGCAAGGCTGTGCCAAATAGTCGGAGCTAATGATTTGGGACTGGGCATAACCCTGGGCGCGCATCAGAGCATCGGCTTCAAGGGTATTCTGCTGTATGGAACGCCCGAGCAGAAGGCGAAGTATTTGCCCAAGGTAGCTTCTGAAGAGGTTTACGCAGCCTTTGCTCTAACCGAGCCAAGCTCTGGATCGGACGCCAACTCCATACGCAGCCGCGCAGTCAAAAGTGCAGACAACAAGTACTATATTCTAAATGGTTCCAAAATATGGATTTCCAACGGCGGATTAGCCGAGGTCATGACAGTGTTTGCCCAAACCGAACAAATCGACAAAAAGACTGGCGAAAAGAAGGATAAGGTGACCGCCTTCATTGTGGAGCGTTCTTTCGGCGGTGTCACCAGCGGTCCACCAGAGAAGAAGATGGGCATTAAGGCCTCCAACACGACCGAGGTTTATTTCGAGGATGTGAAGATTCCCATTGAAAACATTCTCGGCAAGGAGGGCGAAGGATTCAAGGTGGCCGTCAACATACTGAACAGTGGACGCTTTGGCATGGGTGCCACCATGTCGGGTACCATGAAGAAGTGCATTGAGATTGCCACGGCACATGCCAATAGTCGCGTGCAGTTTGGGCAGAAGATCAAAGAATTTGGCACCATTCAGGAGAAATTGGCCAAAATGAATATACTGCAATATGCCACGGAATCGATGGCGTTTATGATATCGCAAAACATGGACTCGGGCAGTCAGGATTACCATTTGGAGACGGCCATATCGAAGATTTACTCCTCTGAGAGTGCTTGGCATGTCTGCGACGAAGCTATACAAATTCTTGGTGGCATGGGATTCATGAAGGAGACTGGATTGGAGCGCATCATGCGAGATTTGCGCATCTTCCGCATATTCGAGGGCACCAACGAGGTGCTACGCTTGTTTGTGGCCCTCTCCGGCGTGCAATACGCCGGCAACCATTTGAAGGAACTGCAGCTTGCGCTTAAAAATCCGGCTGCCAATCTAGGCTTCATATTCAAAGAGGCATCCCGACGTGCAACAACCACAATTGGCTTGGGTGGCACCGACTTGAGCACCTTTGTGGTGCCCGAATTGCAGGAATCTGCGAAGAGAACCGCCGCATGCATTGATCTATTCGGCCGGACCACGGAGGAGGCTCTAGTGAAATACAACAAGAACATCATCAACGAACAGATTATATTGAATCACTTGGCGAATGCCGCCATCGACATTTACGCCATGATCGCAACGCTCTCGCGAGCAACTCGAACTGCGAAACTTAACCTGCCCACGGCGGAACATGAACTTAACCTAACCAAAGCCCTGTCAATTCAGGCAACCGAGCGAGTAAACCAACATTTGCGAAAGGCGAGCTCAGGCCAACTGCAAGCCGAAAACAAGTTAATATCAACATTAGCAAAAAAGATTTGTGAACAGGATGGTGTACACTCGACAGGTGTCATTGATTTACATTGAATTTTAAGTTTTAAAACAAATAGATTGAACAACTAGAGAGAAACTAATCCACATGTCTAATCCAACCATTAGAAAATTATATTTGCCTCAACCTTTTCTGTACCGAATTTCAAAATACATTTTTAAGTAAATTAAAATTGGTTTTAGTTAGATTTTGGGATAATTAATGTTGGGATCATAAGTTTAATCTTTTTTTTTCAGCATTTGGAACTTTGAAATACGATTGATTAAACCTGAACATTTAAGATAGGCACGACATGAACATTTTTGTTCAGCTCAAAGTCCATTTGGTCTGTCATGTGCTGACGTACTATGCCAATCTATAATACAGTAGCCGTTCGCAAATTGGAACGATTCGTTTACACAGCCAGGGCTAATTTTTATATACTTGTATATACCATACATTAAATTTAACGAGCGAAGTCCAGTCAAATAAAGAAGGTAATAAAATAGTTCTCAAAGAAAGAATTTCATGCTTAATGCTGTGAAACCTCGATTCTAATTTCTGTAAGTTCTAGTGAGTGATTACTGTACTAAGGAACTTTGGACTTTGACGATAGACACAGCATGCAAATAGTGAGTGCAGGCCAGTCAGAGGTGATATATAGCAATCTTAGTGTATTATTACCCAATTAAATACACATTTTATTGCGAAAGTGGTGTAGACAAAAAAATTGTTATCTTTGGCTGGTTTCTTAAAGAGATTCGGTTGCAACTTAAGATTATTAACTGCCGCCATCCAACTGCACAACGCTAACAGCAGCTGTGTCAGTCGGAGCTGTCATCAATAGCGTATACACAGCCGAGTTGGAGTCCTTGCGCTGTCGCTCATGGATCTTGCGATGTGTGCGCAAGGCCGCTGGTTGGGTGAAGCGTTTGCCGCATTCCTCGCACTCGTGCGGCTTCTCGCCGGTGTGTGTCATCTCGTGGTATTTGCGGGTGTCCGCCTTGGCAAAGCTGCGCTCGCAGTAGCTGCATGCATAATCTCTGGCATGCTCGTGAACGGTGCGCACGTGCATCTTGAGGTTGCCGGAGCTGTTGCACACCTTCGAGCAGAAGCGGCAGGGCCAGGTGCGTTCTAGCGTGTGATAGTTCATGTGTATCTTGAGCTCATTCCGGGTTGTCTTGCGCATGCCGCAGTAAGGACAGCTAAAGTTCTTGATGCCCGCATGCCGCATCATGTGCACCTTGAGTTTCTCTCTGCTGGAGAAGCGCCGTGAGCAGTCCGGCTCTTGGCAAGCGTGCGGCAACTCCGATTTGTCTTTGTGTGTGTAACGATGATCATTAAGCACTGCCGTCGAGTTAAACACCTTGCCACAAAACTCACACACGTGCGACTTGAGCTCCGGGCCCAATTTGTGGCATCTTCGCATGTGCATGATAAGCGTGGGCTTGTGGCGATACATCTTGTGGCAACCCTCCTGCTCACAGCTAAACCAGCGGCTGGTGCCCGAATGTTGCTTCAGGTGCTCCGACAGACAGTGGAAACGATTGAATGCTCGATCACAGCCGGCCTCAGTGCACGGGTAAGGCATGAGGCCTTCATGTTGACGCTGGTGCGCCTGCAGGCGATGCTCCACCAAGAAGCGCATGTCGCATATGTTGCATTGAAAGCCGGGCGCAGCTGGCTTGGCAGGCACACACTTTAAAAGAGCAAAATTAGCCAAATGATTTGCGAGTACCGGAGAGATATACCTGTTCCCCTATTGTATCCAAAACTGTGGCTTCAGTTTCGGGCAACTCTATTTCAGTCTCTTCATTTGCCAATTGTTCTGTGCTGAGCTTGTCTCCTCGCCTCTTTCGCACCTTCTTATCAGTGTAGGCATCCAGCTCTGAGACTTTTGGAGCCGCCGCATCCAAGCTGCATTTGGGATTCTCAGCATCAGAGGATGCTAAAATTTCAGCGCGCCATTGTATATCGGCTGCAATGCACTTGACACGGAATGCATAGAACTGCTCCAACTGATCATGACACGCCTGGCATAGCTCACTTGGCAACGGCTGCTCCTCATCCTCCTCAAACACGATCAAACCTGTGCAGGTGATGAATTTGTGTGCCAGTGTGGGCAATTTTCGCATATCGTAGCTGCCGACAGCTGCATCGAGGGTACAAATGCAAGCGCGGCACTTAAGGCGAATATTTGCTGACGTCATAGGCTTTATTTGGGTTTATTTAATGTCGCTGACCCAGTTTGTAAGTGCAACAAACGCTATTTGTTTATTTTATTACTGTTTATTTGCTTGAAACAGCTGTGCCGACAGAAGAGATGCCCGAATCGGTGACTGTAAGTAGTAGCAGTGACCGAAAACTGTGACAGTTCACGTAACAGTGATTTTCAGTGTTGGAATTGGCCAATAAATTGGGCAAAATTTATTTGGTTTAGTTTTCGTTTAGTTTTTATTACAACAGTATTCAATTAATTTCTGAATACTTGGCCTATGAGAAGTTTGTGTATCAATAAATTATGCCTGTAAATGCACCGAATTTGAGCCCAATTAGGTTACTCATAATCATGTACCACTTGTCCTGGCACATTGCCAACTCCCCCACCCACACCCACAGCTATATCGTTTGGAGATTGGATTGGATTTGCATTTGTTTCCATGCTCTCCCGCTCATGAATCTTGCGATGCGTGCGCAGCGCGCCTTTTTGTCTAAAGTGCCTGCCACAATCCGGGCACTCGTGCGGCTTCTCCCCAGTGTGGATCAGCTCGTGTTGCTTGCAAAGGAATGGCTGGGTGAAGGTGCGGTCGCAGTAGCTGCAGGCATAGCTACGGGCACGGTCACGTTCGTGTACGCTGCGCATATGCAGGTTGAGATTGCTGGAGCTGTTGCACACCTTGGAGCAGATGCGGCAGCAATAGGTGCGCTCCAGCGTATGATAGTTCAGGTGAATCTTGAGCTCGGTCCGTGTCGTCTTCTGTACGCCACAGTAGGTACAGCTATAGTTTTTAATGCCCGCATGCCGCATCATGTGCACCTTGAGCAGCTGCTTGCTGGAGAAGCGTTGGGCACAGTCTGCCTCTTCACACACATACGGCAGCTCCGATTTGTCCTTGTGGGTGAAGCGATGATTTTTGAGTCGCCACAGAGTGTCGAATGTCTTGCCACAGTATTCGCATACGTGCGACTTGTGCTCCTTGCCCAGCTTGTGGCACTTGCGCATATGCACGCTTAGCGTGTTCTTGTGGCTGTAGCCGCGGTCGCAGCCCGGCTCCGGGCAGGGATAGGGCATCAGTCCATGTTGACGCTTGTGTGCTTGTAGGCGATGTTCCTCCAAGAACTGCGTCGCGCAGATATCGCATTTGTAGATCGATTTTTGCTGTTGCAGCGGAAGGTTCTAAAATGACCAGAGGCCGAAATGAAGCTTAAATACAAACATTGCCAATGCTTTTCAAACCTGTTCGGCACCCAATTCCGAGTTGACTTCCGTGATCTGCTGCGGTGGTACGACTACGCTTGATTCCACTTGCGCTTCTGTATTGGCTGTATCCGGCAGGTCATGATGCTGGTTGGTGTCTGCCTCTACCCGGCACTGCTTCAGCTCCACGACTTCTTCAGAAGTCGTTGTCTGCGCGGCGTCGTTAATGGGCTGCTCATCATCGCAGAAGGCTAGTATTTCCATGCGCCATTTCGTATCGGCTGCTATGCACTTGGCCCGAAATGCATACAAACGGTCCAACTGGTCATGGCAGGCGCGGCACAGCTCACTTGGCAGCCGCATCTCATCGGACACGGACAAATCTGTGCAGGTGACGAACTTGTGCGCCAGCTTGGGCAGTTTTCGCATGTCATAGGATATAGCATCTGCATCGAGTGTGCAAATGCACACACGGCACTTGGATGAGATGGACATTTATGCTGTTCACCAGATCTCAATAAATTCAAAGCAATTTTGCTGAACAGTGTGCAAGATATTTATTTTTGTTTATGCGGGAATCAGCTGATTGCGACAGTGTGCAAAGGGGCGTATTGCAAGCTGTCACTGAAAGTTTGGCATTTTCCAACACTATTGCTTAATATGTGGGTGGAAAACTCGTAGAAATTCTTGGACTGCACAACAATACATTTAAAACAATGGAAAAACCTAATGGAATACACTATATTGATCTTTCTAACAATTTCATACGCTTTGACGCCGTCAGCCAGCTAACAAATGTCTTCTTCGACGACTCCAACAAGCAGGTAACAGAAAGGCAAGTCAGTGAGGCCAGAAATGGATGAACTGCAGCATTGTTTTGTTTTAGATTTTTGCAGTCCGCTCGGGCGGGGCCACGGGCGTGGTGGTTAAGGGCCCCGTGGAGGATACTGTGATAACGTTTTGCATGAGTGATCGTGGAGGCGCTATACGCTCCATTAAATTCTCGCCGGACAATCAAATTCTGGCCGTGCAACGCAAGGAAAACGCGGTAGAGTTTGTTTTCTTTCAGGGCGAACAGCCGCTGTTGCAGGACATCATAACGCATCAGGTCAAAACGCTGATCTATGGCTTCGTTTGGGTGCACAATCGCGAGCTGGCGCTCATATCGAACACTGGCGTGGAAATCTTTCAAATTCTGCCCGAGAAGCGACAGGTGCGCTCGGTAAAGGCGCTGAGCATAAGCATCAAATGGTTTGCCTGGTGCTGTGATGCCAATGTCGCGCTGCTGTGCACCACAGAGGGCAACACCCTGGTGCCTGTGCTGGTAAAGCAAAAGGTCATTACCAAGCTGCCCAAAGTGGACTGTGAGTAGCCCAATATTTAATGAACGTTTTCGAGCCTATCTTCATTTGCTCCCGTTTCTTTTAGTGGGCAATCCAGGTCGCGAGGTGCAGGAGAGCAAAGTAACGTTGGGTAGAGTATATGGAGTGCTGGCCGTGCTCATACTGCAATCAAACAGCGCCTCGGGCATGATGGAGGTCGAAGTGCATCTGTTAAATGGGCCTGGTCTGGCGCCTCGCAAATGCCATGTGCTGCGTCTCAGCCTTATTGGGCGTTTTGCCATTAACACTGTGGACAACCTGATAGTGGTACATCACCAGGCCACTGCGACATCGCTGCTCTTCGATATTGCGCTCAGCGGTGAGGTGATCGATGATGTGACCTACCATGCGCCCATTACGCCAGGACGCTCCATTAAACCATTTGGACTCAAGCTGCCCTCGCTCTCCCCTGATGGCCAAATTCTGCAGTGCGAGCTTTGTATGTTGTTGACTGTAGTCATATCAAATCTTTTATTAATGTCGAAACCCATTGCAGATTCTACCAACTGGGTACTCTTCCAGCCTAATATTGTGATTGATGCCAAACTGGGCTGTATGTGGTATTTAAATCTATCCATTGAACCACTCTGCAGTCTTATCTCGGACCGCATACGTCTCACTGAGTTTCTGCTGCAGCGCAGCAGTGGCAAACAGATGTTGTTGAAGGTGGTGGGACAGCTGATGGACGATCAGTACAAGGGCACGCTGCTGCCCGTGCTGGAGACCATCTTTGATAAGATCAACAAGATTTATTCGTGAGTGAAATGCTCGAAATGTCAAAGACTTAATAACGATTGTCCTTCTCAGCTCCTGGGTGCAGTTGGAGCTTCAGAATCAAACGGCGCTGCCCTCCAATGTGAAGAGCACAATAGCTAAGAACTCAACGCCGCCCATTGTGCTCATCGAGCAATCGGACATGGTGCAAATCTTTCAGCCCATTACCAAGCGAACGTACACGGAAACTGTGCTAATGCTGTACCTGCAATCCCTAAACAAATACAACATTTCCGCTCAGGAGGAGCTGAGCAAAATGGTCATCAGCGAGCTAATACGCAATCGTAGCTTTGATACGCTGCGCCGCCTGGTCAGCTACTCCATGCTGCTGGAGTCCAAGTCTGTTGCGTGCTTTTTGCTAGCGCACTCCGATGTCAACTCGGCCATTTCACAGGTGGCCATTGATATGCTGGGCAAAATTCAAGCCCATGAGGTAATTTAATGTATTTATCATGTAAATCCCTTACTAATTTGTTATTTGTAGATCATAATTGAGGTCATGCTGGGCCAGGGCAAGGTCATAGATGCGCTGCGGCTGGCCAAAAACTCGCTGGGCTTAGAAAAGGTGCCGGCGCGCAAGTTCCTCGAGGCGGCCTACAAAACGCAAGATGATTTGATCTTCCACAGCGTCTACCGATTCTTTCAGATGCGCAATTTGCGCATGTACGAGACTCTGGCGTTTCCCAAAGGTGAGTGTGTGTCAGGTTTTTATATATTTAATTAATGTTAACATTTTTTTCAGCCGAACAATGCACCGAGTTTATACAGCACTATAACACTACATTTGCCGCGGATAGTGCCAACAAGTTGCAGATTAGCTGAGCCCTTTCGGGTTTGTTCAGTTTATTTTGTGATTTAGCTAATAATTGATTGGGGTATTCACACTTGAGTCTACAAATAGCCTAAGCTTGTAATTAAATTAGAATAAACAAAATAACTAAAGGAAACATTCATATATTTTTCTTTTATAATTTTTACGACTGTGCTTTTAGACAAACATGTGACACTTATTTTTGGTGATTATTACGGTTTTTTGAATCGACATTTGTTAAATCATTTAACCAACTTTTTAACAACAGTATACTCAAAAGATGAATATACATACATGTATTTATAGACTGATTCTAAGAAAAAGCATCTCGTGCTAAATATCACCGATGCTAAACTATTCACAGACACTCAGGATGATTACCCATAATACTTGACACTGCATTTGTGTACTTACACAACACAAAATTATTAAGAGGTTACAATAAATACAAAGAATGGCTATTTATATGGAATATACATAAATATATTAAAAAAATACATACATGCATTGAATGGTTTGCCTAGCAGAAACGTCTGGGCGGCGCCTTAAGCTGCAGCGAGCCGAGCTCCATGGTGTTGGAGCTGCTTAACAAATGCTGACTGGGACATGGCAAGCGTAATGTTGACAACTGCCCAACGGGCACCGCTGCACCACAGCGTGGACATTGCTGCAGTGCCGTTGCTTCATTCCGACAGTGCTCGTGCAGCGCATGTCCACATGGACCCAACACAAGCACTGGCGTCTGATCATACAAACGCTGCCGGCAGATGAGGCAACGCATGCTCGTTACCCAGAGGCCGCGACGAGCCACACGACGCTGCTCGGACAAATCTGTATGCAGATTCTGGCACAGTGTATCGGCGGCAACGCGCAGCGCCTCTGTCTCTTGGCGCGAACTAATCAGCATGCTCATCAACAAATCCTTGATGTCGCCAAAGCTGGTGGACACATTGTGCGTGTTCATGATGAGCTGCACCAGATTGTGCAGATCAATGTGCTGCGAGGCCTCGTGCAGCATGGACTTGGTAATGGACTGCAGATCCTGCTGCGGCAGTATATACTGCAGCAGCGTAAACCAGCAACGCTCCAGCTGCTTATCAGGCAGCGTCTGGGCCGAGCGCGCCAACAGTTCTGCAATTTCCTTAGCTTCCTTTGCAGCTGTATCTACATTGGCATCACGCAGCAGCTGCATGGACAGATCAAATGCTTTCGCATAGCTCTCCTGCTGCTCGTACAGGTAGATGACAGCGCGCTGCAGCTGGTGCCGTTCCACAATGTCAATGGCTTTGTCCAGACGGTAACCCGAGCTGGTGCGCAAAAATTCTAGCACTGCATCGGCGCCTTCCAAATTACAATAGAGTTCGAGGAGCAGTTCCATTAACGCTGGCTGCAATTCGCAATGTCTCTCATTGAGGCACTGCAGCAGACGAAACAGCAGCAGCTGCTGTCCACTAAGCAGCTCTAGTAGCTCACTAATCTTGTCCGGATAGTGCAAAGCAATCAAACGCGTTGTCTCCGCTGCATTAATCTCCAGCAGCTTTCCAAGGTGATGACGCAGCTGTTGATAGATGCATCGTTCGCTGACGCTCACATGACGCTCCATGTAGGCAAACATGGTCTCATGACGCGCCTGGTTGTGTATGAGGCACTCGAGTATGTTGTCGTAGCGGTGCAGCTTCTCTAGCAGATACTCTACGACATAGTAGCAGTGAGCACGTTGCGCCAGCTCCAATTGCTCCTCATCGCTGCTGATGTCTGCCAGGCAATTGCTCGATAGTAGCTCATGCCAGGCGCTCTCCCGCTCCGAGTGCTGGCGCGCACTCTCGTTGGCAATGTTCTCCTGCGCCAGGTAGCTGAGCACACGCTCAAGCAGCTGCTTGTCGCACGGCAGGCACTGCGTGGATATCTGCTGGGCAATAAAGTTCAGCAAGCAACCAATTTCCGCCCACTAAAAATGAATAAATGATTAGTCCTTCAGATTATAAATAAATCCACTTTTTCCACTCACTGTTGCGTTCTCGGGCGTCATAATTTCAAGCAGCAGATAGATGATGCGCTTGCGATGGGAAAAGCCCAGCTCGTTGCTGAACTCGCGCTCCTGGAATGCCAGCGAGATGACATTTAAAGTTTCTCGTGTATCGAATTTTAGTAGAGCGCGCAGATATGGATAGGGCAGCTCATCCACGGGGCTGGCACTCGAGTGCTGTGAGGTGAGACAGCGCAATACGTCGTTCTTGACCTGTTGCACCTGCTCCTCTGGTATGTCACCGCTGGGAAAGCGACGACCGGCCAAACAGCTGGATATATAGACCAGCAAACAGTTGCCCAGATCCGTTTGGTCTGGCCTTAATGGCGGCAACAGCTCCGTCAGCGCACTCGTGTAGTCATTCAAGGCGCATGCATTGAGATAGAGCTGCGCCCGATACAGCTCATGCCGCTTGACTGCTTTCAGCACCTGATTCAAGTCCAGACACATCCAGTCTAGCTTTAGGATCAGCTGCTCTAACTTGGCAGGCGAATGCTGCAGCCAATAGTCCACGAGAGCCTGCGATATGACTGGATTCACGCTATGTATGGTCTCCTGCTCAATATGCTCTGAAATGTGCTGCAGAAAGAGTTCCGTATTGTTGTGCAGCCGCTCCCAGAGCTGCGTCCACAGCAGATCCAATTCGCCGATGGTTATCAGACAATTGACAATGGCGCCGAGGCAGTATTCGGGTGCACGTGCTGAATTGGCTATGTACTCCTTGAACAGCATAATGATGCGCTCCTTGGCCTGGGCACGCTTTCGTGGACGCTCTGCAGAGGCTATATAGCCATCCAAGGCCAGTTGACAGGCCTCCTGCCAGCGATGATTCTTGACCTACAAGCACAGAAGGATTAGTACATTTCATATACAATCGACAATTTCGATTTACCAAATAGCTAATGCGTTCCGACCAGGTGCGCACACCTATGATGTGCAGAGAGCGCGCGCCGAGCACATAGAGTTGCGTGCCCCGAGAGACCACCGAGTTGTAGCAGGCATTGGTACCCGCCAAGGCAAAGGCGGGAGAGACGTTGCCGCCTGTGGCCAGGCCCTTGAACTGCGCCGAGCCGTAGACCAGACCTGCATTGGCCATATCCATGCACTCCAACTCCCGACTGGAGCGCACATCCACCAAGTGTAATATTTCCGACGTGTCCAATGATGCCACACACTTGGGGCCCAGCCAGTGGGCGGAAAGCAGGCTGCTGTGCAGCTGGACATGGCGCAGATACAGCAAAGTGATGCGTCCATTGGCTACAAACAGCTGGTGAAAGAAGAGCTGATTGCCGCGGCCAACGACAATGACTGGATCGATGGACCGACTCGTGTCCGCCGCCTGTATAAGCACCAGATGCCACGCCAGCAGCGGCAGGCAGTCGGCCGGTCCTTGCAGTGCATGATACTTGATGACACGCAAACGTGGACGAACCGTGACTATAAAATATTTAGAGAGCGTTGCCAGAGCCACAATGGAGTATTGATCCAGTTCGTGCCGCCCCTGGGCGTCCATGATAAGCGGCTCCACGGAGCAAACCTCACCACGAGCGCCCGAAAACAAACAGCGCGAACTGCATCCTCTTATGCCCAGCTTGCGTGTAAAGCTCAGCGACCACACAGAGCCGCCGGCATCCGCGCAGAGCGCCAGCGAGGAACGTGATGTCCACTTGACGTGCAGTACTCCTGTGTTCGGTGTTATCACATCAAATAGCTCGCGCAGCACATCACCAGTCTGGGTGTCCAGCATGGTAACCAAACCGCGTGCATAGCCCACCAGCAGGCGTGTGGAATCGCCGTTGAAGGCCAGGCTAGAGACGGCCCCCTGGCTGTGTTTGTCCTGATGAGCCCAGCGAAGCGTTTGTGTAACATCAAAGTTGAGTATGTGGCCGTGAGAGGTGCCCACAGCAATGTACGCCGCCACGGCGCAGGCACTGGCCGCTCCAGCGTTGACGCGCTCGGCGGCTGAGGCCAGTTGGGCCGAGATGCCATGCAGAAGCGTGTAGCGCATTATGGAACCGGAGCCGCTGCCGCCACGCCCATCGGCGCGCACACCGCAATCCTCGCCGATTGAGGGTGTTGGCGTTGCTCGCGGCACCGGCATCCCAAGCTCAGAGGCCACGTCGGAGTCCGCCTCGAATTCGCTGAGCACCGTTTCGAGCGTGGGCAAAACATCGGTGGGTGGTATGGCAAACTCGACATCGTCCAGCTAAGCGTTTTCACGGGTAATTAATCAATCAATTTTGCACTGCCATTGTTTTCATTTTAATACTCACGCCTTCAAACTCAAAATCAAGTTGCAAACTGTCCGTGGAGCCGCGATCTGATTCCAGCAGCGATTGCAATGAAGGTGCCTTCAACTCAGCCATGCTGCACAATGATGTGCTTGCTTTCTACTTTAATTTTGTTCTTATTATTATACTAATCTATTAATTTGATCTCAATTTTTATCAATGAACGTCTGTACGCCCACCATTTTATCGATATTTCTCAGTGCAGCGACTAATTTCGTATGGTTAACAGAAATATCGGTAAGAACCGGCAGATGTGTGTGTGACATATCGATATGTAATAAAGCAATTGCAACTCTAACCGCGATACCTCGCAGTCAGCTGTGAACTAGTTCAGCGTCGTAGTTTTTTTTGTTCGTTTCGTTTCTCTCTTTCATCAGTTTCATTTTATCCTTTATTGTGGCCAGTCGCATTGGCGTTCGCGCACGGAATTTTCGTGATTGAACATTAAAGTTAATTGAATGTATAACTTACAATAGAAATGTGCGTAAAACAACAATAATAATTGACGCCCGCGGGCAGCAATAAAGTGTACAGTGCGCGAAGTGCCCACCGGAATATGAAGCAACAACGCGCGTTGCGGGCGGCCGTGGAAGTAACGATTTTTGCATGAGTCGCGCTTGGCCAAAAAAAAAAAGTAAGAAAAACAAAGAGGCTGCCAAATTAAAATGCAGTGCCTATAACTAATCAGTTTTGTAATTATAAGTGCTAACACGGCTATAAATAAATTTGTTTATTTCGATGCCCGTTTGTGACTGTTTGTAATTCGGTTTTTGCTTTGTTGCTGCTGTTTGTTTGTGTTTTTGCGCTACTCTCTCTCTTTAACGTAAGCGCGTCATTCAATTCATGTGAGTGTGTTGGTGCCGTGACGTAAACAAATGCAAATGAAAAGGCACTTGTGTGCGAATATTTAAAAAATGCCAACAACAAAACAGCCGCATGCCGATGCCGATGCCGTTTCACGTGCCAAATATACATTGTAGCAACAACAAAACGATAACTTTTTCGCCTCGTGTGTTTTGTGCATCTCATTCGCTGCAAGGCCAGCTGAGCGCAACACGTTTGTGTTGTTTCTGCTGCATGCGTAGGCGGGCAGAGCAGCAACAGCAGCGCAGCAGCATGTGCGAATGTGTGCGTGCATTAATTGAAACATAGATGCGACAGGTAAGCCGCAGAGCGCAACTCAAGTTATTTCCGTTCTCTTTAGCACGCAAACACAAACATAACAGTAACTTGTAGGCCCATATTTGTATGTGTTTGTGTGTGTTTGTGTGTGCATGTGTCATTTTGGCTTTGTTGCGCCGCCTGGCGTCAAAATCTACATAGTTAATTTCTTTTAACTAGCGAGCGCAAGAGACTTCCACATAAATACAAACTTATCAATTAGTAAAAGCGGCGCGTTTGCAGGTAATTTTCCAGACACACTCACACACACGCACACAAGTGCAGACTCGCGCTGTTGCAGAGCCGTTTTACGTTTGTCAAGATAAGACAACAACAACAACAGCTACAATAACATCAAAGCAAAGCACGTTAATGACATTTCTGGAGCAGTTTCACACACACACACACACATACACACACACACACACACTCACACATCTCTCCCTCGTAACCCCTTTAGTCAACATCTTTAACATGTCGTATGCGCTAGTTTTTCCACATTTTTGTACCCTATTCAAATGTTGCATGGCTTGTATTGTTTCTTTTTTTCGTTGGCAACATTCCTTTAATGATGATAGAAATGATAATCTTTTTAAGCGGGGGAATCACAATTTCTGAAAATAAAAGTTGTCAGCAAGATTGTATAACTTTATATATGTATATATATATTTTGAATGAAAATCCCCTGAACTACCTTATATTGTTTTTTAAATATGTCGATTACAATTTTGCAAGCGTCGACTAAAAAATATAATCTTTACGGCATTTAAATGCGGCGATATTCATTGTATAACCTTTCTTTTTTTCTTCGGTTTAATTGATAATGATTCGAGGAAGGGCATTTAAAATTCGTTACGATTTAGTTGTTGGCCTTCTGGTTGATTATTGTGCTTTCGCTTTGTGCTCCTTTAGCTGCAGCTTTGCTTTTCATCTGTCTTTCATGGTCACTAAATTTATTGGTCAACATTTTATCTTTTGGTGTTCAGCACCCACGCGGCGTCGTCCAAGTCGTCGTCCACGGCGACGGCGACGGCGACGCTGGCGACGGCAACTCCTTCAACTTGTTTGGGTTTGCGGCGGTCGTGCGTTCAACGCCCACATGGAAATTTAACGCCTCAACGCGCTGGCGACCGGTTCAGATTCTAGATTCTTGATGCCGATTCGAATTTTTCCCGAACGTGGTCAACAGCCACATAAATATTAGAGAAGGGACCAGGCCATAAAATCAACAACAACAAGAACAATAGCAACAACAGAAAATATATTTTCCGACATGAGTTATGAGCATATTCCCGTTCGTTTTTAGTATCAAAAAATTTGTTGCTACACCGCGTTTTGGTTGTGGAAAATATCTTAATTTCAATAAACTTGGCTGCGTCCCCATTCTTCATATAGAACATACATATATATAGCATATTCCCATAAGTTTGTTTTGTTTATCTTTTCATGATTTGTTTATGTTGTGAGTGGTGTGACGGGGGCGGGGTCGGTGTCTCTCATATGTGTTTTTGATTCGGCGATTGCAGTCGAACAAATTTGCAATTGTGGGTTCTGTGTCTGGTCGTGGGTATAATTCAGGCCTTAACCCATTGTTGGCCACATGATAAACGACGGCTTGTTAATAAATCAAAGGCAATCGTGCATTGTGTGTGTCCTCTGTATATTTCCTGTGTGCCCTGTTCCTGCTCCAGCTCCTGCCCTTGGGCACGAGCGCAAAGAGTACTCGTTACAATGTCAGAAAGTTTTTGTTTTGCAACTTCTACATGCCGCTTGGTCCTTGGAGCATGCAACATGATTGGCTACTGCACTCAGCACAGGATACTCGTATTTCATACGCCTTGTAGATTTATGAAGTGCCCAGCCGAGCCGCTCTTGACTACGTGGGCGTCTATATGTATCGGTGTGTGTATGTCTGTGCGTGTGTGTGCGGCTGCAAGCTTCTGCTTGGGGTTAGCATACATACATCCTGTGCATCCTGTGCCACAGGCTGCCATTGGCATTCTAATGATTTTTTATTGTTGTCGCTTAAGTGGCCCATTGTACAGCTGGCAACATATTGTCCCGACATTCCGCCCACTTGATAACCGATCCCCCAACCCCCCCCTCCGCCCGCCCGAAAGCATAGTTTGTTGAGGCGCCACAGCTGTTGTTGGCATTCAACTTGTCCGAATTGCTTAACATTCCTTGTCTCTTTGTGCTATGCAACCGATTTGATAACATTTCTAATCATGCACGCTGATTAGACTAGTTCTAATTGATTATACAACTTTTTCTTCCAAGAAATGTTGCTACATTTTGCACACGGTTGAAATAATCTTTAATAGCTTTCTGATAAGTTAGATCGATGCATATCGAAAATATGTATATCTTTAGTTTTCAGATAGTTTTTCCTTTGGCAAATAAAGCATAATTGATTTCCAAAGCGAAATAAATATGCATTAAAATGAAATAATTTAAAATTGTCATAAATTTGTCAAAACTCAATCAATTTTTATGAGTTATGCATTATTGTTTGTGGCTTGAATTCTTAAACTCTTGTTATCAAAATGCATATTAAAATTATACTGGAATGAATAACAATAACTACATTTAATCAAATAAGCATCAAATAATATTTCCCATTAAAATAAGCTTGGATAAAACTGGTCCGATTTTGATAGGAATTGACTTTTTGTTTGTGCTGTCGCTTCTAAATGAATTCTGCACTTAAATGTAGAAATAAAATGTGTGGTAGAATAATATGAAGTTATGTTTATGTATATGATTTCATTTTTGTCAGAGCTAGAATTTGAGATGCATTTTATAAGCCAGACACAAGAGTTTGTTGCAAATCATTTTGTTAATTTTTATATCAGAGTGTGTTTTCTCTGCAGTCTTAGGTTTAGATAAAGTTATATAATTCTAAGCCTTCTGATTAAACTCGGTTTAGTTAAACTATAATTTTATTGCACTGGGCCCATTAAAAATGTATTTTCTTTATAGCTGCTTTAATGAAGCTCTTAAGAACAGGTTTATAAAATAATCCTAAGGCTTCTTCAGCTTTTGACAGTCACGATTGCTCAACAGTCTAATTGTACTTACCGCTTTTATAGTTGTTCCGTAATTAAATTATCGTCAATTAATTCTGCAACTGGGAATATCATTAAGTGTGGCTTTCAAGATTTAGGGTTCTGTTCATTTGAAGAGCTGCAGTTATTGCCATTTCCAGCTGTTTGCCTACTATTCGAAAGTAAATTATCAACTGGATATTGATTGCGATCTTTGGACTTCACATAATGATCTTTAATAATGCTACCTATCGCTTGAATACCTTTGTTTCCTTTGTCTGTTATGGCTGCTGCTCTTGGCCTGCCTCTTGCCTGCTTGCCGGGCCTTTAAGAAATCGTCTTTGCTGCGGCTTATGTTGCATGGTAGCTGAGATTGGCTGCTGCTGCGGCTGCCTATGCCACCACAGTATATACATCAGGCTGGTAGAAAATGCATTCGGCTTAGTCACTATTTGCCCCCCCCAGACAATTAAGCTGCTGGAGAAGCCAAGCAGAGGGGCTTTGGAGAGAGTGAGGTGGGGGCTTTGGCTTAAACTGGTTCGCCGTCGTCTTCTTGATACGAGCACAAATGATTCGCTGCCTGAAGTAGCTGAGCGTTGTTTGAGTTTCTGCCTGCGCTGTTTATTGTGATCTGCTGGCAAGAGAAAAGCAAAATGCCAAATAAGCCGCACGAAAAGCAGCGCCAGGACATGAACCCGCCACAGGCAGCAGGGCAGCAGGACGGCAGCGCAGTTGATGCTGTCGGTGAGGTCAGGCGTGCTTGGGGTTGACTGAGCGCGACTGTAGTCTAACTCAAAACGCGCCAAAGCAAAGCGATTAACTGGATTTAGCAGCGCTCGCGGGCTTAACGCTCGAAGAACTCATCCCCGGCCAGCTCGGCGTCCTCTATACAAAGTTTTTTCATTATGCACCAAGCTTAAGCATAGCTTATAAAAGAAGCAGTCCCTATGTTGTACCCTATGTATCTACTGAGTTGCCTCCTATGCATGTGGGTGGGCTTTGCACCTTCATCGATTTAAATCGCGTTAAACCTGCTGCTTGTGACCAGCTAATTAGCAGAGCCGCCAATTTTCTGTTGGTGCCGCCTTTGGCAGCGGGATGCGGGGTTTGGTGCTAATGACAGCGCTAATAATTGCTTTGTTGTGGCCGTCCTGCTATTGTCCCAGCTGTGATGGGGTGCCCTCATTTCTGACGGCGGCTGCCAGAGCTGTCAAATGAGAAGCGCCCAGGAGGAGAGGGAGGTGTGAAAAAATGCGTTAGAAACTAATTAGTTTCAAATATATGCTCCAAAATATATGCAAGTAAAAATATACGAGTTGACGCTCTTCTCGGGAGTGCACGATTAGGGAACACCCTGGAACTTCAATAAAATGAAAGAGACTTGATCTGTATATACTTTTCTAGAAGCTACTTGTCAACTTTGGCGAGATTTACTAAAAAAAATAGCAATTTAGTATCAATTTTTATTTTCTCGTAAAGTTATTAATGATCGGATACATACTCGTACTTCGCGGGCACTAGAAGGATCTACGTTCCTAATTCAGGTCCCTAGCTCTTATAGATGGCAAGATTTTACATAGATTGACTCAACTTATCGTCCTGATCAAGGATATACATTCTTAATGTGGACGGAGCTGCTTTCTATTGCCTGTTACAAACATTTTTTAACCATCTTTAATGTGTTAAGGGTATAAAAAGTACTACACCAGTCTTTAACAATTTATAGAGTTGAGAAATAATCGTTTTTAAATATTACAAAAGGAAACTCGTTTTAAGTAGCTTAAAACATCGCGAATTTTTGCAAATTTGGTGCCGTTCAATTCATGAAATTCCACGTAGATTTAAATAAATCAAAGGAGTTTTTTTTATTGCTGCAAATTCATAAAAAATTTTAAGTAAAAAAGTAAAAAATTGTAAAATTGTAAGCATTTAAAAATCAGACACAAGTTTTTA